TTTCTTACGTCTACTTATATTAACATCTTTGTTCATATCAACCCGCAATATCTTCTTGGATGCCTGTGTTAGTATTTACAGATCACAAAGTTTTACGAGTAACATACACAATGAATTGCTAGCTATATTGAAATTATTAGGACTAACAATAAAAGTGTCAAAAATAAATATGCACGATGTCAGCCAGAAATAATCTGAGTATTACGTTTTAAATTATGAGTGAAATAATCTAGAGAATAAATTATCATGCGTATTTTCAATGATATCGATCAATGGGTTGGATATACAGGCATCATCAACTGTTCTACTAATATTCCTGCAAAAAAAAATATACATAACAAAAATTACGTACACCTTATACATGTACCACAAAAACTAAATAAGATTTAGTAGATATATACAAGTGACCTTTATACAGATATATTGACGAGACACTACCGGTATTCCTAAGGGAATGCTTATGTCTATTTTCTCATGGAATTATGAGTCGCCCAACGAATCAGTCTATTTCCCCCTAAGACTGAAGAATGATTTTATTGACAAGTGAAAAAAAAAGTTCATTGTGTGTGGGAGATAGCTCAATTCGAAATGACCCCTATGTGGTCAAATATTGATCAATCATGATGAAGATTCTAGATATGGTCTGTTATATTTACATACAATACCAAGTATTTTCTGTTAGGTTGAGATAACATCGTAGAATTGTACATTTATCAAATGTATATTTCCACAGTAATACATAGTAAAATAGCACAGTGTTTACAGTGGAACTCCACTGCTGAAATAACACAGAAATATATCATTGTGCATTGTGTGTTAATTTTGTTGACATGGCTCTATTTCACACAAATGCCTTGTGAACGCTATATGGCGATTCTGCTGGTTCATGATATTTACTCAAATTCATTTTTAGAGGGTACTGAATAATAAAAAGAGTCCGGCAGTATGTGACATAACACAGTGGTGATGTGGGTTTTTAGATCTGCCCTGTCTTATGTCACATTGTGATGATACACAAGTAACCATAGACATATGATAAACAGGTGTATTACACCAATAATTTTTTTATCTCAGGTCATTCACCTTTCAATGATGTCTGGTATATACTGGAGACATTTAAACTGGATATTCTGTGCCTGTAAAGAAAATGAGTAAAAAAACAGTAACTATAGTGACAGTACCGGTATACAGTAAGTGTTTTGGCGTTCAAATAAATTGTTCAAACCATAAACTTCCTTTGTATTCACAACTAGTGTAAAATCTGTATTACAAGCCGTGACTTCTATTACAATGCAACACAGGGCATGCGGCTTCTATTAAAGCATCTACACATATGAGAAATGGTGAATTTTTGATTCTCAATTGTTAAAAAAGAAACGGGTGCGACTTCTATTAGGGATGTGGCTTCTAATACAGATTTAATGGTAATCCCTGAGAGTCGCAGCAAAGCAATGTAGTTTAGGTTAAAATATCTTTGTTGTCATAATTTCATCTGTTTTACGCACGGACTGCGTTCTATGATTACCGAGACATCAGTTTTATTTCTAGTTAGATCTCGTAATTGTGACAAACATATACTATAAAGTGCAAAGGAGGAGATTTATTGTAGTAGTGACCTGTGACAAGGAAAGAGCTGAATAAAATTCATGGATGTAGCAGCTATTAATTCTCAGGAGTGGAGATATGTCACAGAACGATTTATGTTGCTAAGACACGCACCAATGTACCATGTATTTTTATGGGCTCAGGGTGAGCTGCTTTAGAATGCCAGTCAAAAAAGCATGTGAAAACAGGTAGAACTCAAACAATCAAACAACAAAATTTATATATGTTGCAAATGTAGGGGTACCGTAATCTTGGTACACTGTTCAGAAGAGTCCTATCAACTACTGTGGAATACTTTATTTTCGCTGGAATTAATTTTCGCTGAAAAGCCTTTTTGGACGTTTTGTATGGAATTTATTTTCACTGATTTTTGATGAGTTTAATGTGAAATATAGGAAAAGAAGTATATTCGCTGGATTTTATTTTCACGGAATCATCCCTTCAGCGAAAATAGCGAAGATAAATTCCAAGCGAAAATAAAGTATTCTACAGTGTCCCAAAGTACAGTTTATTTTTAGAATTTCTGACCAGTTTTTTCACTGATTGAGGTTGCCAGGTGGTTAAAATTCCCAGATGTATGCCCAAGAATACGAGTAAATTCTACAAATTAGTGAGAATAAAAACAAAGAATGCCAACCTGCATAGATCCTATAGTTGTTAGTCGCACAGCACTATTAACTACAGTCCTCAAAACGCCAAATAGGAAGGTTTCGACACACGTAGATTTACTCAAACCAAGGTAGTGGCATGTACACCCATACATCACAGAATAATGACCTTTGACCTTACCATCTTCCAAAAGTTTTTCCAATCTTTGAAATCTACTATCCACAAAAGTCTGACAGGAGGTATGGATCAGGGCATTCCCCTGTTATAAATTTAAAAATAGATCAAGGTTGTATTACATAAGGGCATGCAAATTGAGCGTGGTATGCAATACAAAGTCATTTGAATAGACATTGTCAAGTTTCCTGGTTGCTACGTACATGTATTACTGAGCGTGTACTTTCCACATGATAGGGAGTCATTCCTATAACCAGTTGTTTGTGACCCTATTTGCATAATTTTTTAAAAATAAAAGGGTACTTGTTTATTTTTCTCCAGAGATATATTACAAATGTATACAAGAATACCAAAATGTCATACATTATTAATATTTTGTCCAACTTTACTGTGTGTATATGCATGAAAGACCTGTTTTCCACATTTTACAACATTGGATGGATACAACACAGAATTAACATGCTCGAAACAAGACTGAAAATGATTTAGTGAAATATCTGCCTAAAACTGCTTATTCCAGGCTACATACAGACAGACAGACAGACAGACAGACAGACTGGGTAATTACAAAGACTGCCATTATGTGCTTCATACAATGTACATGGCGAGTCAATCAAGTCAGCCACGGTAATGATCT